TAGCCTTGAATGTCTTTAGTAAAGTGAAAGCTCTTTAATAAATTAGATATAGAGACATTAAAGATAGGGTTAGCTTAATTATTTTTAAACTTTAAATCAATCAATCAATATATGCACATTTAACATTTATCTTGTAATAAGCACTCTCTTCATAATGGGGAGTGGTATAGAGAAATCTAAATCCTGGTCTAATCTCTGAGAAACTTACCATTAATCAAGAAGGGTGATATATGCTCAGGAAAACTGATTAAATGCCAACAAATGGCATAGAGTTTAAAAGATCACAGATATACATATGGAATAGAAAACGATATATTTGAGTTTGAACTTGAATGTTAGATATAATATGATGAGTTGAAAGGAAAGTGTGTATTCTTTGTGTGGCAAAACAGGAGTTAAAAGTGAGGGGACAATAAAACAAGCATGAACAAAATTATAAAGTCACATGATTTCTGTGAGAATGATTGACTGCTCTGTAACCAAATTTGGGTGCTGAGGAGCTGTGTTCAAATACAATTTTTTAAAAAGAGAAGCAATATATCAATGGCACCTTGACTGCTAAGTCACCTTTGGACATGTTTTCTTGGACTCATTTCTAAAGTATACCAGCATGTGCTAAGTGAGGGGAGATGGGAAATTTGCTTATGTAAATTTGGGAAATGTGAGGTAAATCCTAATTAGACAAGTTTGCTTCCTGTGATATTTCTCCTGAGCTTTCAGAACTAAAAAGGGGAAATCATGTTCATTTCCCAAACATTTTACCACTGTTCTTTTTACCCATTTGTTCCCTCTTCTAGATACATGTTATAAGTGCTTTTTGACAGTAGAGTGTCTCAAAGAGCATTAAGAATCAGAAATGACATGGTAAAAGTATTGATTTGGGGAAAATAAAAATATATGGTGGTGTTGGGTAAGAGAGACTAATGACCCCAGCAGTATGGGATATCAGAAGGTATGTTTTAAATGCCAAGTGAATGGTGAAGATTAATAATTTTGCTGGAAGATAGAAAGTGGGAGAGTTCATCTTTACTTCTAACCACAGCTTAGAGGTGAAGTAAGCAGTACATGGAATATGAGTTAACACCAGATGGTAATGTATATACAGGTGGAGGCACAGTCTGTTAATCTGTTAGGATGAGCTCCCTGAAAGAGACTAAAATTAGAGGATTTATACTCTTCACTGAAACACATTTATTAAAAAATTCTTATTTATTTATTTATTTTGAAGTAATTGGGGAGAAAGGTGAACAAAAGAAGAAATTTGGATAGTATAGTCCAAGAGAAAGAGAGAGAGAGAGAGAGAGAGAGAGAGAGAGAGAGAGAGAGAGA